ATACTTATATACAGTAATTCCACTTCGATTGATTTTTGGTTTGAATTTTCTACACGCAGACTCAGGAGTTGCAGTCTCAGGTCTGCGCAAACGCAGACTGTGAGACTGTGAACACTACACAATTACTTTTTTACTTTTTCAAGTCCTAAATAGTACTACATAATTATTCAAAAAGAAAAGGCTCTACAGATTTTTAAATCTTGGGTGATGAATTCGATTAGGAATATTTTTAATAATTGGCCCTTAATATAATCGAATCGGCAAACTCGTCCCATCTTGAATTCTCAAACCAATAAATGAATATGCTATATTTGGCCCCAAAAATCACTACAAAGAAATTTCGCATGGATTCGTACCATGATTCATGAATAACAAAAGTCGTTCTTCATCTTGTCTTTTTTCTTGTTGAAATGAAAACATATTTTGTTGCCGATCCCATGAATTTTTGAAATCTACTGGAAACATACTTCATCATTGTCGAAATGATCTGGGTTACTTGAATATTACACAAATGCAAAATTATTATTTGTACAATTTTCTCAGGTGCCCAACATGGTTTTCATCGACTGTATTTTTTTGAGCAGTTTATATGAATAGTTGTTATGTTGAGCAGTGTTTAGACGCTTTGGTTGAGATTGTAGTAGGGATAAATGTCATTAGTGTCAAATACGCCAGCATTGTACAAACTGAAACTCCTGGACACCAACATCAAAGGGACCAACGCTAAGTGGGACTACTGTATATAAGTATACTGTGGTAGATGGTGTGCGAATATCATGGAAATATTAAGAAAAATAATGAAACTGGATTATACTAAAACTGATATTGACCAGTGCCACAGAATTGGGACACCAACAGCAAACAAAAATCGTGTAGTATTTTTGAGGTTCCGAACATCCTCCATCAAAAACCTCATATATAAAAAACATTGAAGAGAAGTGGCATCACTGTGAAAGAAGACCTTACCAATGAACAAATGAAAACTTTCAATACGGCTCTCACCAAAGTAGAAAAAAATGAACGAGGAATATTCATCAAGCTCGATAATGAAGAAGAAATTTGTAGGACCAACACTGAGGAAGATTTGAGCGACATATAATATGTATTAGTTGCAAATTTACATTCTTTCTATTTATAAACTTTTTCCCAAATGAGTTCACGTTCTTTATATCATTAAATTGATTCATGTCTGTGCAATTGAGCTTCACCCAAGCTCCCTATTTAATGTTTAGATTTTTTCGTTTATTTATCAATAAGAAATTTCTACTTCTTTTTTGTGAATATAAAATATCCGCGTTAATCGTAATTTACATTTATTTTCATCACTTTCGTTTTAGTTGAATACTATAAATATGAAAACATTGCAAATAGCTAGTCTGAATGTCAGATCTTTGGTACCATCTATGAATGATGTCAAACTGTTGATATATGATCAATCTTTTGATCTAGTATTATTTTACGAATCCGGGTTTAGCAATCAAATAACTGATACTGTTGTCAATATGCAGGAATATACATTATATAGGGCCGATAGAATTAATAGAAGAGGCGGAGGTGTCTGTATCCATTGCAAAAATGAATTCAAAACTCAGCTAATTAGTACCCCTGCAGGCCAAACTAGCTACGAATAATTTTCCCAATTACTCATGAATTAAAATGCATGGAGAATTTGTATCCCTTCTAGATGTAATAATTACTAGTACCAAAGAGACGTTAGAGTGGAGAGTAAATGCCACAAGTGGAATTTCTGACCACATACTTGTTGTCTATTGCGAGGTGAAAATACTCAGAGAGAAACAAGGACTTAAATTTCATACATACAGAAATTTCAAACACTTAGATGAATAGCTCTTTCAAAATAACCTTTTTAATATACCATTCTTTAGAATATATGATGAAGATGACATTGACTCAAAAGTTTCTTATCTTGTCAACTCGCTGCTGGATTTATTTGACAGGCATGCACCTATCAAAACATCGAGAATAACGAAAGATAGGGCGTCTTGGCTAACTTATAATCTAAAAAAAAATGACAAAAACTCTAGATAATGCACTAAATAAATTCCAACGAACGGACTCTGAACTACACCTTCAACTTGACGAATATATGCACAATTATGTAAATAAGGCAGTGAAACTGAGAAAAAAGGCATATTTTGTTCAACGATTTAATGGAGTTGATAAAAAAGAAATATGGAAAATTATAAAAAAAATGAATTGTTGCCTAATAAATCCAAGGACTTACATGAAAACCTACAAGATGCTGATATAATAAATGATTTTTGTGTATGAAACTATTTGTAGTATCAAAATCAATACTGCTGGATGCGACAATCTCAATATGAAGATGATACAACTCTGCTCTCCTCCCATTATTCCATACACAACACATATTGTTAATTATTGCTGTCTGTCAGGAAATATTATACCAGATACGTGGAAAAGAGCAGTTGTGAAAGTTGTACCAAAAAAACCTAATCCAGTGGAATATAAGGATCTCAGGGCATTGAGTGTTCTTCCAGCTCTATCAAAGATACTGGAACGAGCGATGGATACACAGTTACGGAAACATCTGAATGAATACTCATGCACTATTACCAGTAACTCAATCTGGATTCAGGAAAATATACAGCTGCACAACTGCTCTTCTACGTATCATAGATGATGTATTTAGGGCTAAAGATCAAGGTTTACGTACGGCAGTGGTATTGCTCGACTTTAGTAGGGCTTTTGATACCATAAACCACGGCTTATAACTAGTTATTCTCCATCTCTTAGGACTTTCAGTTGGAGCGATATCACTATCGTGAATATCTCAGTGAGAGGCAACACAAAGTCAACATCAATAGCAACTGCTCTCCATACCTCACTTTGAAATCTGGAGTTCTCCAGGGATCCACACTTGGTCCTTTACTGTTTAATACATCGCCAACATTTTGAAATGTCTTGAATACTGTTCTGCACATTTGTATGCGGACGATACCCAGCTTTATTATCATTTTCCCATCGTCTTATGTAATTGATGCTTGTACGAAAATGAATATTGATTTGGAATCATTCATAAAAGCCGCTACTGACATTTGTTCATTCATTAATCCGAGTAAATCAAGTATAAATGTTTTTACACCAAGAAATGATTGAAGTAGTGTACACGATACAAACATCACGATTAATAGTGAAAAACTTGAAGTAGTGAATGAAGGAACACATAAACAAACTGATCCCCAACGAGATCCTTTCTCTATAAAAATAATATATAGAAACAAACATTTCTTTCCAACTCAATAAAAATTAGTTTATGTGAGGCCTTGGTTGTGAATGTCTGTGCACTATTTTATTTTATGGTGAAGATATGAAGGTGCTTTATCAGTAAGTATTTTATGATACATACATGCACTGTTTTTCATACTCAACCATCTTGTTTCTTTTAAATTATGTGCCTCCTTGTTCCATGTATTAGCCGAAAACATGAGTTCTGTACTTTCTGGATTTTGTGTTCATAATTTGTGGTTAGATTTGGGTTAAAGATATCTGTATAATTGAACAAGGAATGAACCAGTGACAGGTGAAATGTGAAATATATTATTCACTAACAATGTATATGTGCATACATCCATAATTGAAGGTAGATAAAATTAGGTACAGACTACAAACATTTTTGGATTCGGTAGTTCATTTTATACACAAATATCCTATTTTGGTGAGAAAATACTGCGAAGTACTGTAATGAAATTGTCTAGGCGGTTATGATCACTAATTCGTTTCCACGATCTATGTGGAAGTCAATCAGTACTTCTTGTGATACTATTGGAACCACCAAAATTCCACATTGATAACTATACAGATGTAAAGTACTGGAAGTTTTTTATGTGTTTTCTACAACAGGCTAAATCCACATATTTGTTTCATAATTTTTGTTCAATTTCAAATGAGACAATGATCATGATTCTCCCAGTTATTCGGATGAATAGATGAAAACCAAATCAGCAACAATTTAAAAAAATCAAAAAATGGACTAGTACTATAGAACCGAGCTGAGGTTGAAAAAATTAATTTTTATGGAAGTATATTATAGATTGAATGCCAAATGTTCTGAATAAAATGTGTTCTATGAAAGAAAACGAGATATCTTTTTGAAGATGCACTTTCGATATCGAATAAAAAAGCTCCATTCTGATTTTCTCTCGACTTTTCGGGGGTTATTCTAATGAAAAGGTCCAGTGTAAAAATGGTAAATCTTCGTTTTGAAAGCACCCGGCGATTTTGAAAAAATGTTTGAGTGTACTTACGTATTTTGATGCATAGATTACGAATCCGAAAGAAAAAAGCGGCGCTCTCCTTTATTTACAAAGTTACAGCCCCTCAAAGTTCAGAAAAGGGAAACTTTTTAGCCTTCTTTTTCACAAGATAAACTATTTAAAAAAACAAGCATTTATTCACTAGGTCACCTTTACACTTCATTCCTCCTTCCTTGACACTTTTCACTTCTACAATCAACATTTTTTCAATAAAAATGTTAAAAATATACGGAGCTGCTTTTTGGTTATATATCTCTGTATTAAGGTTAATGGCATAGTTGGTACGACTGATGCAAGCATTCGTTTTTAAATTAAGTTTTTTATAAGAAAAATGTTGATTGTTGAATTGAAAAGTGTAATTTAAGGAGGAATAAGGTGTAAAGGTGACCTAGTGAATAAATGCTTGTGTTTTTAAATAGTTTATCTTGTGAAAAAGAAGGCTGAAAAGTTGCCCTTTTCTGAACTTTGAAGGGCCGTAACTTTGTAATTAAGGGGGAGCTCTGCTTTTTTCGTTTGGAGTTGTAATCTACACATCAAAATACGTAAGTACACTCAAAATTTTTTTCGTAATCGCCGGGTGTCCTCAAAACGAATATTTACCTATTTCTATAACTTTCAACTTTTTTTCTCTCTAGACTACTCAATTATGTGTCCCAATAAGTACATCTGGATGAACATTGCATTCTGGGAATTCCATTTTGCTTCCCAGCATCTCCCGCAGCGAGATGAGATCTGCGTCAATCGAAGAGTGGGACATAAAATAGGCCCGATGACGTTTACCTTGATTCAGGTGCAAATGATCGAGACCCCCGCTTTCCAAGAGCAACCAAAAGCCAGTTTACGTTGAATCTGCGTGGAGTGCACACCTTGGGATTTCCGCCGCGAAACAAATCGATTTTCACACTGCCCTCATGACAATAAGCAGAGGGATTTCCTAATAAATTTGATCTCAAGGTAAGATTTGGAAATACTAATAGTTATTTTAGTTCCTTGAATTGAGCTATGAATCTCTGTGTGACTGTTGATTTATTGTCAGTCTTTTGTAATACCCAGCAAGTGAAGAAGATATAATTCTTTCAATTTTATTTAGTTATACTTTGACAACAGAGTATTTTTGAAAGAGGAAATAATTTTAATGAAAATTTATAGTTTTCTTCAAGAGATCTATCAATTTGATAAATTATTGTGCCCCAAATTGACTTTAATTATAACTAGGACTCCTGAAGAAAATGAATTGTTTTATGTTTTATAAATTATATATAATCGTTATAAGAAATGAAATAAAAATTTGAATATGAGAAAAATTCAATGGAATATTAGCCTAAAAATTGAAAAAATATATAACAACCCGAATCTTTACTGAAAAAATACACAAAGTATTTGATAAATTTTACATTATCAATATTGTTTTGAAATAACGGGGAGAAGAATCTCGCAAAATTAGTTGAAGGTGAAGATTGGGAAAGTAATATTGATGGAGATTTTTGGAATTGTTTTATGTTTGGTCTTTGCAATTTATGATTGGAATTTTGATGCTGGATATTTACATAGAATTTTTTTTATATTTGTGACAGAAAGTGATTGAATATATTGTAGTTAACTTGAAATGAAATATAGTTAGATTGTAAAATTCAATAATTGTTTATTATTTTTTCTATAACTCAATAAATGCAATTGGATTCATTGAAATAGTCCAAAACAATTATTGAAACATTATTGAAACATTTTGAAATTCGGAATTAAATCAATTCGTCAGTATTTGCCAAAATGCCAATTATACAATTATCGTTAAACTTATATATTTTCCACAGTAAAACCGTAATTAGATTTTTTTAATAAGCTCAATAAGTATGAGACAGACTATTTTTACTATTTACGAATTCAGATTGAAAGTGGATATGATTGTTCTTGAATCACTAAGGAATGAAAATATATATTCTTCTTTCTTAAAGTTTCGAATGACTTCCGGTAATCTGTGGGGTTGGGTATTGGAATAAATCATTATTGATAATTTGAAGTAAATGAAAAAAAAAATTTGTGAAATCCCAAACGATTGTTCAATTGTAAAATATTAATATAAGTATGTCAACAAGAATTGAAAATAATATTTACTATGATAGATTATATTTCGAGGAATATTCCACATATGACAAATCCAATGGCGCACAGGCACCGCTCTTAGAGCGCCTTAAGGATTTTCCTGTAGGCTTGTGTTTTGTCCTTAAAAAAACGTTAATGCAGATAAATTGATGGGTGTAGCCGTTACTACGTGTTAGGAAATCATAAGGAAACTTTCTATGTTTCTTTACCACTTTTATTTGTAACTAACGTTACTGCAGTTTCGTCCTATAAGGACATTTTCAAACTTGTAATGTATAAGTTTTAAAATGTCCTTATAGGACGAAACTGCAATAACGTTAGTTGAAAATAAAAATGGTAAAAAACATAGAAAGTTTCAATTCTCTTTTCTTTGTCAATACAGATACTTTTTTTGGAAGGATTCAAGATTCAGACAAGAAAATAATAGGCGTCTTGGCTAGCCAATTACAATATTATTAGAAAAAATTCGATCTATCATTTTCCGAAAAGTAAGATATTGAGTAACTTAAAGATATATACTTGAGTATTTTCAACAATGGGGGAAAACAATGAAAAAGTCGAAAAATAGGTGGATTTAACAGAATTTTGTGGTGATCACAGACACAATTGATCTGTTGAACCAACTACAAGGAACATCAGATATTTATGATTCTCAAAATTTAATAATTTTTAAGAAGTGTTGAGAAATTGAAGGAAAGGCAACTTCTACAGTGCTTTTCATCGATCAACTGCTTGGGATCTATTAGACCGACCAGAAGGGACAGAAATAGAAAGGAGTTACTATGATTTTCAGTACTTAATTTTAACTTTTTTTGCAAATTGAATTTTGAAACTGAATTTGAATCACTATATTATGCATTTCTGGAATTGATATCAAAATATATCCCTTATACATCAAGCTTCATCGATCAAAAGCTTCATACATTTTCAGAATGTGAATCCTAACAAACACAGAGGTACTGAGAAATATTAAATCGAAACATAATCCTTTTTCCTATTTTCAATCAAACTGTGAGAAGGCTTCACTTGAAATTTTCTTATGATTTGCTTTGATCTTTACATCCAATTCCACCCTGCTGCAGTATTAACTAAAATGATGAATATTGTCCCTTACTAAAAAAACATAATAAAAATCAACACAACGTTTTGACCTACAGCCAAGTGTAACCAGGATTTAACTATTGAGAAAAAATGTTAATAGAGAAAGCGTATTCAAGTATATTATGTATTTTCTTGGAACTCCTTTTATTACTATGACGATTAGGAGTTTCCAATTGGAAGAATATGAAAGTTTAACAAACATTGACTGAATCATCTACACAATCCTTTGTTACGCAACATTCTTCGGATTCATTAACTTCATTTCCCGTGAGTCGCAGTATTTGGTTCCTTTTAATTTAACTTGCATTTCTGAAGATATACGACAATCTAGATTTTAAATTGTACCAGTATCGATTATTTTTTAAAGGAGATGAAGCAAACAGCTTCGTTTTTGAATTATGAATATAGATAGACTCCCGTCTTGATGAAAATTAGTAATATTATACATTATCCATGATAATATTCAAACAATTTGAACGCTATCAACTTTTTTCGAAACGCTTTGTTTTCCATAAAACAGAAAACATATTCGTTTTTCAGTAGGTCTTTCGATTCAGAATTATCATTCACCTCAACAAATGTGTTTTTCAGGCTTTCAGAAAATCGTGCTTATTATTATTATCATTATTATCATTATTTTACATTCAGTTCTCATATATTGACGGAAAATTAGCCCACCCTTCTGTTAATATTCAGATCTAAAAAATTGGTAGATGTAAGTTGAAAACAATAAATATTTGTCGTTAGTTCTTCAACCAACCCAATAAATAAATCTCTTTATTATTTAAGTTATGTGGAATTCGAGGCAGTGTACGAAAATTTCATAGAACTTTTTTTATGTTTTTCGATGTTTCCTGATTGATAGATATGAACAATCAGGGTTGAATAAGTTAGTTAAATTTCAGAAAAACTGAAATATCTCGTGAACGGTCGATTTTTGATGAAAGGAATGTTTCATGAAAATGAGTCAAATCATCTTGGAATTTCAAAACTATCCTAAAATACAGGGTGTTCCATTTGGAAAAACTGAGTTTTGGCCCATGTTTATATCTTCAGAATTAGTAATCGATTCCGAACACCTTGTATAACATTTTGAAATGTTACTGCAAGACGAAGGAATCCAGTATTTTGATGAATCAATAATAGCTCATTCATGTATTTTATCAAACTTTTGAATTTAATGGGGGAATCACTCGAGAGCCGAATACCTAGTTTTTTGAGTAAACAAATAAATATCTTGAGAATGGTTCATTTTTGATATAGGGTGTATCACATAAAGTAACATTAGAATTATGCCTGGCATTCAAATATATAAAAATATACAGGGTGTCGCATTTGAATTAAGGAAGTTTGTATCAACTTCCGGTATAACCGGAAGTGTTGGAAAAACACTATCAATTTCATTTGATAAAGCATATTAAAAACATATATTTGCCAATTTTCAACATATGAATCCTATTATTTCCCAGAATACGGCTAACTACGTAAAATAGGTATAGTTCAAGTAAAAGATATAGTGCCCCCTACCTTTCAGCAGTTCCCCATTAATAACACATACAACGGCGGTATATACAGGGTGTCGCATTTGAATTGAGGAAGTTTGTATCAACTTCCGGTATAACCGGAAGTGTTGGAAAAACACCATCAATTTCATTTGATGAAGCATATTAAAAACATATATTTGCCAATTTTCAAGATATGAATCCTATTATTTCCCAGAATACGGCTAATTACGTAAAATAGGTATAGTTCAAGTAAAAGATATAGTGCCCCCTACCTTCCAGCAGTTTCCCATTAATAACACACAAAACGGCGGTATTCATCGCTACATTCTGTTGGTCACCGTAACATGACTTCAAATTTAATTTTATGACTCTTCAGCCAATCATAAAACTCGGTTAGTAAAAATTATCCAATACAAACCGCCAATTCTTCAGTCCACGTGGACTAATTCGTTGCGGCATAATTCCTTTGTATTGGTTTTTTTGGCCTTTGACTTCGCAGACACCTTTAAGATTTCTATATCGGTTACTTCGACTATACATCAATATTTTTGAACAGAAATTGTTAAAATTCATATCTCTTTTTTTATTGATCGTTCGATTTTAAACTCAAATAAATCAATGCAGAATTCTAAGATGTCACAGAATTTACCGATGATATAACTAACGTTTTGCAGTATTTTGTTTCAATATTTATGATGGAATAAAATTGTTAGGATTTTTCAAATGTATTTAATTCAATAAAACATCTGAATACATGTTATCAGATAGTTATGAATATATGCGGTGACACACTTATATATTAACTGGGTGAAAAACAAAATAGTTGTGTTTCTATCGATTTAATTAATTCATCTTATTGATACGAGGCAGGCGAGCAGCTCGATGAATTGATGATTGCTGGCATTATGAAACTAACATAGCCTTGTTTTCCTGAACACAATAAAAATATGTAATATTGCGATCACAATTCTGATTTAAGTATAGCCAACAGGAAATTTGACATACATTTCCAAAATCGAACTCGTGTAATAAAGTGGAATAGATCGTGGATTGTTATTCCAACGCTTTACCGTTGATTTTATTACTGTAAATATTTCATTTAACGGTTTTTAATATTCCCGGAAAATAAAATTGTTTATAACACAATTTATATATACTAGAAAAGAAATCTATATTGGTTAATATAAACAATCAAAATTGATATCAACAAATTAGTTGTAGGCAAGGATTATTAGTGGCTAGAGGAGA